CACCGCGGCCAAACTTCTTGTGCAAGGCAGGATCGGACACGCGCATGATGTGCTGTAAAGCGCTATGGTCTTCGAAAAGACGAGCTTTTTCCGCAGCGAAAAACTGCTCAGCACACGAGTATACCACTCCATCGACCACAAACGTCGACGGGGTCCATTGGGAAAAGGGAGAGGGGGGCTGCCAAAAGAAGACCATATCAGGAGTACAATACTGGTTAGATGGGTCGAAGACAGCGGGAACTGCAGGAGCCGAAACACCTGGAGTGCGGTCAGCCGAAGCTGAGGTGGCAGCCGAGGCTGGTGTAGCCGAAGCGGAGGCAGCCGAAACGCCCGCATTGTAACTTACGGCGTGAACGTCCATGGGGACGGTCTCGGACATGTCAGAGACCGGCGAAGAATCGGCCGGAGCCGGATTGGTCGCAATAATTGGGCCAGCGACATGACGCTGGGTGCGCCCCAATTCTAAACCTGAAGAAACGCCTCGTAAGGTGTCATTCAACAGGTTGCTTTCGCTAGGAACGGCCGCCAAGACCGGGTCGGTTAAAGAACCAAACCGGGCGTGGTGCTCCTGGCCATTCCTCCGTGACAAGGTACGCACGCACCACAATCTGCCAAAAAGACTCCACTCAAAACCCACCGCAGCCTCACATTGACTGAATGTTTTCTCGTCCGAGGTCGTCAAAGCATGACGCGATGTCGTCGACGTCTTCATCCGTGATGTCGCAACTACCCGAGTCCCTGCGATTGCACACACACACAGGGCATCACGTCTTGATCTGTTTGGGTTTCCATAGCAATAGTGCGGCATGGATGTCTTGCCAAACGCCATCCACTCATAACTCGGCATCACCCAACGGATATCGGAGGATATATGAGAGGGCGAGGCATGAACCAAAAATATTGCGGAGAACCACCAAACAAGCCACAGCTCGAACGCTATGCAACGAGCCACCCAGGAATATACAGTTTTCATCAGCGACAACGGGGTTCTCGGCAGGCGCAGAATTATTTCGGGGGTTGCTCACAATCTTCCGTTTCCATCGAGCTCGCAGCTGTAGCCGGAATTGGTGAGGTCTAGGCACGGATTGACTGTAACTAACGGAGCGCACAGAGCAGATGGGAGATGAGATGCGACGAGAGAACGGGTAGTGAGATGGTCACGAACGGTGAATGAAGCAGCCATATCAGAAACGGATACAGCATTGCCGAATCGACCTGGCGATATGAACGCATCTTCCAATTGGATAGAGGGTACTCACCACGTCCTCGCGACAGAAATGTGCACGGAGCTGTGCGACCATTCATTTCCTCGTCTTTTTCCACTCCGCCGTCTTGCTGGGTCGCTCTTCTTTTGATCGTCTGGAACCATTTCGGAAATATATGGATCTCTCGCCTGTTCCTAAGTACTGAAAAAATGAATCTCTCCTCCCCTTCTATTGCTGTAGAAATAGTGTCGGAATATTGTTACGAATATCAAGTCGGTCGGTGGGTTTTTTCGCCCCCCTCGTTGAATGGATTCCAGGGTGATGAATCTCATTTCCCCATTAATTGTAGTCAATCCTCCCAGACATGTTTGTACTCGAGACAAGCACCGAAAAAGTCCAAGTATGGAAGCCCTCTACTCTGGCTGAGCAGAGAGTCCGGTAGTGTGGTGGCTATGTCCTGCCACCGGAGGTTGGCTATTTCCTTTTGTGCAATGTGGCGAGGAATGCCAAGCGTGACCGAGCGAACTCAGTCAAGCTAGGGTGGCGAGGAGAGTGGGCGAGCCTTCGTGGACCCTTTTCCCATTCTCCTAAAGATTCATCAACTCTTCGCAGCCGTTGGGAATCGTAAGAGTCATAGACCCTCGAAGAACCGGAGGTTGGCTATTTCCTTTTGTGCAATGTGGCGAGGAATGCCAAGCGTGACCGAGCGAACTCAGTCAAGCTAGGGTGGCGAGGAGAGTGGGCGAGCCTTCGTGGACCCTTTTCCCATTCTCCTAAAGATTCATCAACTCTTCGCAGCCGTTGGGAATCGTAAGAGTCATAGACCCTCGAAGAACGGTAATCTATTATCACATATCCTTTCAGATCCTACTCTTTATGTACGTGTATCTGTGCTCCCTGAATCTCCATATCCTGACCTCCACACAAGGACGATAATGTTGGGGCACGTTCCCAGCGGAAACATTTCTGAGATTTCGGAGAAGAAATGAAGCTCACTTTTGAATGACTTTGGAGAAAAATCAATCTCACCTTTCTTATTATTATGTGGAAACAATTCGGAAAAGAGGAATCTTGAGTTGACGAGGATTTTTCCGCCCCCCTCACTCAATTCATCTCACTTCTCCTAAGAATGAATCTCACTTCTACTCTAGTAGTCTCTCCGACCTAAATTCATTTCTGTCGCCCTCTTATTCCGATTCCCCCACCCTTGTGTCTCAAAGGCCGATCTCGGCCTATGGCGCACGTCTCGCGACATGTTGCGCCAGAAGTAAGTACGTAAGTGTGCGACGATGCGCCCTGTTCGGTCTTCTTAACCGGTGCGCCTTCTATCTTCCTGTCTGTTTTGGCCGCCCTTTTTGGCTTCCCGAACAACAACGTCGTCAAAAATCGAATCTCAACGCCCGCTTGGCAGCAACCAATGGAAAAGTATTCATTTCAGGTGGTGAATTAGTACATGAAAGTGTGTGAGCCGAGCGAGTTTCGAGCGCGACATGGTGCCAGTATCCATAGTACGACGAAAGGACACAAGAGTGAGTCGACGAGCAGGCAAGTTGCATGTTGCGCCAGAAGTGTACAACCATGCGCGCTGTTCCTCTTGACCGGTTCCTTCTACAAGCATCTTCCTGCCTTAATCGCTATTTTTGGCTTCTCAAACAATGTCGGAAATAATCGAATCTCAGGGTCGGCGTGACACCAACCTTATCATGTTCATTTCAGAGGTGGTTTTGTAGTGAAAATGTGTGTTGGCCGAGTGAGTTACAAATTCGACCTAGAGAGCAGCCGGTAAGTCATGATACGACGAAAGCGCATACGGTACGCCGATGCGCCACCATCCTACATACACCAGGAGTGTCCGACACCATGTGCGACCATGCGTGCTGTTTCTCTCCTCTTCACCGGTTTGCCGTCTTCCTTGTCACTATCGCTCATTTTGTCATCGTCTCGAGTTTGTTTTGACAAGTCGAATCTCATGTGATTCAGATGAGGGATTCAGATGAGTTCATTCGTTGTGACAGCATATGTCAACGAAATGTAGACCATGTGCATCATCAGAAACCAAACGGCATCATCATCAGCACAGAAGGTGATCTTCTCTCTTCGATATTATTTGTGCCTCATTTTTCCTTTGGATAACAAAGTAGTCTACTTCGTATATTTTATTGCATTGGGTATTTGGCCTAGCCCACGGTTAGAAGGTACATATTACAGTGTGACTGAGCAACGATCGGGAGGACTGTTTACATTGTGACTACAACAACGAACGTAGAGCAGCGAATTTCTCTAGCACCGCACCCTTTTTCTTCGGCAGATAGATCGGAGTTCGCGGTTACCATTGGGTTTATCGTGTCGTGCGGTGACCGACGTATCATATACATGGTATTATTTTTTACGGTTGTTTCCGCAGCAGCTCTTGTTTCCCTTCATTTTTTGTTTCCACCCGCCGTCGGGTCGTGATCTGTCAACGCAGTAAACTCAGCCAGCAGCTAATGAAACCCGGGAAAAAACAAATCAGCTTCAGACAGGCCACGCCGACAATACTCGTCGCGTTATCACAGATAGATATAGACTGTGTGGAGATGGTGTCCACGAAGGCACCACTCTCATCATCCACCTTTCATGAACAATGTAGCACGGCGGAGACACCTTGGCCACGCTTGACACTTCCTCGCCACGTATCAAGAGAGACAATATGGACTATATACCTCCTCCGTTGGTGAGCGGTTACTCTAAGGGAGCAGGGTACTCTCGTTGGCTTCGATGAAGACTGACAAACCTGAGGGCAAAACCGGGTAGCTGAAAAGAAAGGCAGATAATGCTGAAAGCTACCGCGAACCGACAGGGACACGTTCCCCATATGACGACTCGGACGATGGGTTCACCCAAACTCAGATCGAGACCTTCGACAACAAACGACTTCAAAATGTCAAAAACGACAAGATTCTGCTCGTGAACGATAGGAAACACGAGGACAAACACCAACTGACACATGAGGTAGGACATTAAGTGATCCAGAACAATCTATCATCACGTTGCATCTGTAGACTATGTACATACATGAGACTCGCTTATTATGTGCGGGTCCCGCCGTTGTATATGTAACGCGTGTTCAATATAACACAGCAGCGATGAGGAGAGGTATGCAATCGTATGCATGAGCTGTGTCATACAACTACTGCTGTAGGGCAGTCTCCTCGTTCATTCGGTATCGAAGCGCCAACAACCATGCGTGAGGCATCTGAACGAGGGGTGTACCATGCGTGAGGCATCTGACCCTGAACGATGGGCGTACCATGAGTGAGACATCTTTCCAGGAGGCCATCGAACTGCATCGATCGCAGTACGTTTTTGCTTTGGCATGGATTGGTTCAGTTCGGGCCGGACCTCAGAACAAAACGGTTCATGGTTAGGCGGGGCTTGGCTTTCTCATGTCCATGCGGCGACCTTGGTTGACGTTTGTTTCTGCCGGGTGCTTACGAGGAAGGCAAGCGTCCATGTCCCCAACCGAACGTCTATGCGAAAGGCAAACGTCCTACATGTCCCGGTTGTCACCGGACCAAAAGTGAAGAGTTGCGAGGCGTTGACCGGGGGTTGTTTGACGATGGGGGGAAGACGATGGAGCAACAATTTCGCAAGCTTTCTAGCCGATTGGTGTTTCCCCTTGGGTGACACATCCCGCTCGAGACGCATCACCGCACTCCTTTGATTCAAGACAAATGCCTCCAAGACCTGCTATTTGAGCTCTCAGGACAAGAAGTGGGACGCGATTCAGTGCCCAGCCTCAGCACGAATACTTCGTTAGGTCATCCATCCATTTGCTGTGAAGCCTCCGTCCGTAGCGATGACCTGCGACGTGATGTAGCCGGCGCCCTTCATGCAGAGAAACGCTACCATGCCGCTCACTTCGTCCGCGTCCGCCCATCGCTTCATAGGGGTTCGTTGAGTAATCTCGTTCACCCTAGGGAGAGACGCGACAATCGCACGTGCGAGACTTTTCGGGGTTAATTGCTGATAAGCAGTTGTATGATCTTTTGCACCCTGGGATGCCAAAATGAGACACCAACCAAAATAGGTGAGCGGCTTTTCAGGAATAATTGTGGACAAGCACGTGTCACCCAACACCACTTTCATCAGAGTCCCGAAATACCCGCAACTTGAGCGCTCCCCGATGGTGATCATGTTGTTGCTGGTGGGTTTTCCTTTTCCACTTGAAGTACTGTAGGTTCGCATTTGCCTTGTGTGTTTCGTTTTGAGCTTGTTACCACTTTCTTGGGGTAACAATTTTCTCCATCTTGGAGAGGACTGCGAGAGATTGTGGGCAGAGTTCAGAACGGATTTTCACCGTGAACAAAAACGAAAAACAAAAAGCAAACAGCGTCGACAACTAGCAGCAGCGGTAACATCACACGTAGTATGCGAAAGAACGGCGAAATCAATTGTGGCCTCCGCGAAAAACAAACGTATTTGTAAGAGCGGGCGGGGCATAACCATCAAGTACGTCACCCTTAAAGTCAGAAAGCTCCCAGCGTACCTCACGGGGTCCGCCTGTACCGGCTCCGTAAGCGGTGTCTTCGTGTACCACGGAGCGACGGCGTTAACTCGGATCCCGTCCGGAGCCCACTCACAGCCCCATAATCTAGTCACCTGATTCATGGCGGCCTTGCTTGCGGCGTACGGGGATCCTGCAAACAGGACAGCGTTCGCGTGAGGGATGGGCACCAGCGGAATGCCTCGCGTTTTACCCGACGGTACATGACGGTTGAACTCTACTCGCGGCATCAGCAACAAAACGTCTTCTATACGGCGTTGAAGTGTTTTTCTTCGGAAGGGATCCAAAAACGATGCTTATTTTCTCCCAAAGCGAAACCCTCTCATTTTTTTTGCAGCCACCAACGTTTTATGCAAACCACAACGCGTGTGAGTGTATCAACGAAAACGTCGATACTTCTACGAACTTCCATCCTTTTCAAGCCGGTGTTCCAAGAAAGTATTGTTATCGTCGACCGGAGAGAGAAGGCGCACGGTACTGTACCCTGGCGCGCAGTACCTGACTTTATCGGCGTGATCCCAGCGACGCTAGAGATGTTAATGACGGACGACCCCCCGTTCTCCCTTGACCCCTTCACCGCTGCCGCAGCCTTGAGCAGGGGGTGCAGCAACTGCAAAACACAGCGGAGACAAGAAAGGGAGGGGAGGGCACGACCGCACTTACACGCGGGTATCCCCTTCGGGCCCTCATGTCTTCGGGGTTGATCCTGTGTGAGCCCTCGTGTTTTAATAAAGCAGCGTGCGCACGTTGCACCCAGGCTATCGTGGGAAGTGCTCGATCTCCACTACTTGTTCTGGTGTGTACTATTTATACAGAACTTCGTTCATCTGAGCTAAAAAAACTCGCATCTATTTTTCTGGAATTTACCTTGTGTGGGGAGAGCTAATCACAGTACGCCCCACGACACTTAAATAAGGATGTCAGCGAAGAACTTGAGCCTCGACGTACCTCAATAAATCGACACTAATACCGTGCAGGCACAAAACAAATCACGAGCTCATAAAACCTCGCCCCACCCCAACTACGTGAGTGAACGCGTGAACCCAAGTTTGGTTTCCATGACTTTGTTAGGCTCGTGGGAAAAGAGGACATCCACTACGAGAAGACAAAAATGCGGTACAAATAGAAGTATGAGCAGACACCAACCCGTCCATACAATACATGGCTACATCAAACCAAGGTCAGTAATCCTACAGTATGTTTACGCGACGCTGTTATAGCTCGAGAAGATCGGTGTTCAGCAAGGACGTCGCTAAGGTGCTGGACGCAATTCTACCGCGTGCAGCGGTTTACCTTGGTGAGCAGGAACAGAGAAGTGAAGTTTGTGTCCATGACGTAGGCTAGCTCTTCCGGGGTATAGTCGACTGTCGCCTTGCGAATGTTGGTGCCGACGTTGTTCACCAGGATGTCCAGCAGTCCCCCGAAATGTTCTTCTGCCTGTAGACACAAGAGGTGATTGGGGGCACGAACAATGGAACTGGAAAAGAGATTCTGACCCTGACCCTGACCCACAATGTAGAACCGAACGTGTGGGGCACAAGACACCAAGAGATAGAGAGCGAGGAACCCCTCTCGAGCCGAAAACAACGATCATGACTGAGTCTGTCAACGACAACAATGGTATCCCAATTCTCACCACACGATGGCCGCTACGCATTGCATTCTGACGCGTTCCAGCACGGCCATGATGGACTTGTTTCTCCCTCACAAAAAGAGTCTACAGGGCTGCGCATGTCCTACGAGTGCTTGCGCCAGAATACCAACGTTAATCGGACGGAGACAAGAACGTGACTCACTAGTTTGACCAACGACTCCCGCCCCTCAGCTGTTGTAACGTCCGCTGCTGTGCCTTCCACGAGCAGGCCCTTGCTTTTCCATTCCTGGCGCACGACAATAACCACGGAAACAACCACAGATGTTGAACACCACGCACATGCCGCGCAAGCCAGTTCTGGTATATTCCATTCATTCACATGCCACACGAGCAGTTCTGGTTAGTCCATCCTTATTCCGTGTACATACGTAAATCAGTAGAGCTACGAGCTACGCCTCCCTCCCCACGGAGGTCGTAACTCATGGCGAATGCCAACTTCGCGGTGACGAAGAAGTGTCAACTCCAGGTTATGAGGACGCTCGAGTGAGATTGGCATAATGCAAAGAGCATCGATTCTGCGAAGATTGCTCAAGAAATGAGCTTCAATTCTGCGAACAGTGTTCGCAAGAACTGCGGTTTTGGCATATGTATTACTGTAGTATGCATATGCATGCACGTACCCGCTAAATTGCTGCGGGTACACGACACACACGCTTGCCAAACCAGCACACGTAAGCAGCACTGACTTACCTCGAGGCAGGCCGCCACATCCGCGGGGTTTCTGGAGCATGTGATGACCTTAGCCCCCAGGCACGCCAGCTCCTCCACGATAGCCTTGCCGATACCCTATGCCGAAAACGATTAATCCTTTAATACACAGTTTCGGACTGGGGCTCCAAATTTGCTGAGATAAGGAAACAGATTTTGAGATAAGAAAGTTTCCTGGAAACTTCCTGCAGGCGAATATTTCCCGATTTAAGGCGGTTTCATGTGATTGGCTGTGGGACGACAGTCACCCAACGGACTTCCCCTGTTCGCAGGTACTGCTGTTTTTTGTGGTGCGCTGCGTGACAGCTGCACCCTGATCACAGCGCTCCCACTGCTGTTGAGTGTGCGTGCATGCATGCGTGTGCGTGTCTGTGTTGCCCCCTCAACCCCAGCCCACGAACTCGCACCAGTACAGCGACAGGGTGTACACATACTGGCCGGCAGCCCTGTACGAAGTGCTGTGTATCGTTATTTCAAGCGTTGGGGAGAGGGTGTTTTTTGGGGGGCGGGGGCACATCGAAGTCAAACGCGCGCTCTCTCTTCTAGTTGTAGAAGCGGATAATAGTCTTGCGGCGCGTCACCAGAAGGCAACTGCGTGCTCTTCCTCCTCTCTGCCCTTTGCTGGCGGTGCTGCCACCTCCACTACATCGTCGGTTGGCGCGGTTCGTTCCGGCGCTCTTCTTCCCCCTTGCCTCAACATGTGTGTGACGGGCGCGCGCGCGCGTGTTGCTGCCCTAAAGCAGCGCAACAACCAACCCCAACTTGGGTTTCTGACCGTGCAGCCTCCCCCTTTTTGTGTTGGTGGCGCGCCAACTCCAGGGCCTTTGCGCTGGGTGCTGGGTTTTATTTGGGCGGCCGCTGGACATGTTCTTGCCGACTGTGTGTGTGCGTGTGGGTGGTGCCTGATGATGTGTTGTGTGTGGTGCCTGATGTGTTGTTTCGGACAAAGTTGCTTAAATCGAAAAGTCGGCAAAATTTTCAACAAAACGAGCCTCCCTCCGCTGTTAAATCTGATTATTTTTTCCTTACCTTGGGTTCTGGCGAGACTGTCAGGAACGATCCTCAGAACGATGGCTTAATTCAAAATATATTTCCTTATTTCAGCTTTTTTTTTCGGGTCCGAAACTCTCTAATAACGATTCCACATGACCACAAACCAGTGTTGGAAATCGAACATCGAGTTTCGATACATATCTATTATCGGACGTCCGATATCCATATCGAAATCGCCGGTTTGTAACCCGATATTGGTCGATATAATCAATATCAAATATCAATATCGAATATCGATATTCGATATTTGCCCCCCTATTTCGGGAATTTTAGAGGGGGGGAGGGGGTTCCGAGCAGTCGACCCCCCATTTTTTTTGCTCCCGGCGCTGGCGCGCCCGCTTGTTCAGCCGACAGTCGACAACTCACACCCCACCACACACCACACGCACACGGGTGCCACGGGGTCGGGTGGGAAATGGGCGAAACTAATCCGAGAAGAAAGAAGATGCGCTCGTCCAACTAAGCAGCAGTCATCGCAGTACAGAATTCAACTTGTTGCTTCTTGTGTTTTGTAGTTGGGCCAAATTGATGCAGTATCTCAAGTGGACGTGTGGGGTTGACATTTGAAAAGTGACAAGAGTATCCGCGGGTATGTCGATGGTTGGCAGCTGGTGGTTGGTAGGTTGGCTGCTTTTGTTTGTTGGCGGGAAGTATCTGATACTTGTATTTACCAGCGGCGATGCGAAGCGTTTTTTTTTTTTGGTGTGTTTCGTCTTTCGTGTTCATTGTTTATTGTTTGCCAGTCAGTGCGGTACGCGCGCAGAGGCGCAGAGCGCAGAGTCAAGCTTGTGCTGAGTTGATCGCCACTCGCAATGTTAACATTGCTCATGAAAACTCTGGCGGTCTAGCCTACCTAACTACTAACTACCTAACAGCCGAACACTTGGGAATTGATTACAGAGCAGAATAGTTTCGATGAACATAGCTTTTGTACGTGGCGCCCACGCGCCCACTTTTTTTGCAGTGCGCAGCACCAGTTGCCAGTTAACCATTGCTGCTGTAACATGCACGCCGTGTGCCCCGCGGTCCGCGGTACACTGGCACGCTGGCACTTGAAATGCCGCTCGGCCACTCGGTCGTTTGTGAACTGTACTTGATACTTGATACATGCCGTGATCCGTGATCCTTCATGCCCGTCAAAAACAGCTGAATTATCAAGTTGGAATTATCGAAATATATCGAATATCGAAAATCGATTGATATCGAGCCGTTTTTCCCAATATCGAAAAATATCGATTATCGAAGTTCTTCGCCCGGTGATCCACAAATAAACATCTATCGAACTTTTTTTGCGGTCCGATTTCCAACACTGCCACAAACTAGCCAAATGTTGAGCACACAGGAGGAGGACCCGGAGGGTGTGTGTATGCATATTATCCCATGTGTGTGCTGCGATGCTCGTCGGCCTGAGAATATGATGACCCCCCCTGCCTACCCTGGGGCCCCGATATATGCAACTGACTGCTTGAACACGGAACACATGGTATAATACCTACATCTACCTATTCATCAGGGCTGCTCTGCTCTGCCGTGACGGGTGCACTACTAGACAACTCCATCGACCAGCGACAAGTACTCTCCTATATCACAACGACGGCTGCGACCATACAGCGAAAAAGCAAGAAGACCTTGGCGTGGAAGAAAGTTCGGGAGGCATGTTGTCTTCGCCGAGATGCCGAAGTCGCTCTCTGTGATGACTACAGCAGTACGCATGTACGTATATAATGCGTACGACCGTGCAGGGCATACCTTCTGTTCCAATAGACTTCTATGTACATAGAAGGTGTAGGAGGAAGTGCTCTACAGTAGTAGGCTAGAGTTGCATACCGAAACATAGGATTGACGGATAGTCTAGGGTCGCAATCCAGGTACGGAAGATAGATGTACTGCTGTAAGACTAACACGACGGCTGCTGCAGACGTTGGTACACAAGACCTTGGTGCCCCCGGTGACAACGGCTGTCTTGCCCTCCAGCGACCACCGAGCTCGCCGTTCCGCACCGAATGTCGTAATCTGGAACCTCTCCTGGGACAACGGAGAACCCCAGACGCTCGCGACCGCGCTGAGAGTGAGGACGAGCACTTGAATCATCCGACCGCTACAGAGGAACATGCTGCTGTTCGTACAGAATTTGCTGTAAGTTCAACCGCCTTCTTGGAACAGAGAATCCTGTGTATCTGGTATCTGACAGGACACGACACGAGAGATCTCCGAAAATATGGGAGTTCCATTGAGGGAGAGAGGCTTGCTTCAAGATCAAGACGAGAGGAAGCGCACGGTGTCATCACACAGTCTGCTCGCCAAAGCAACTACAGCACAGATATCGAGGCCATCCTGTGTGTTGTCCCTGCGTGATGAAGTATATGTTGCATGGGAAGCGTACATAAGTAAAACCCTGCATGTTTTCGTTTTCCGTAAAAAAGAACTCACGCGAGACAACCTAAATAAATGTACAACGTACATGTTCGCTTGACATCTAAATATCTTCGTTCGTGCCCTATTTTGCTTGTCGCCGCGGGTGCTAACGTGTTAACCACCAGTTGTTCCACGTGGCAGGGAAAAGAATATGTCCCAGCCTTGCAACCGTCGACTGGAGACTTTAGCCCATGGAGGTGTCCCGAGGGGTGACACTTGTACAAAATGTTCGGTCGGATACACAAAGCACTGCTGCTGCGTGTAGAAATGGAACCACACACCCGTTCTTGAGAAACGCACGATTTGAGGGGGTGTCGTGAAGGGGCCGTGGCGCAATGGCAACGCGTCAGATTCCAGTCCTGAAGATTGGGAGTTCGAATCTCCCCGGCCTCATCTTTTTTCTAATTTCCAAAAGGCATCCAATATTTGTCCCCTCCCCGGCTTTTCTTTCCCGCCGGTCGCCACCTGGGTAAATAAAACCCGTCCGACGACATGAAAATTGGTAGAACGTCTTGGAATGTCCTGATTTTTCTGCTATTTTTGTCTTGTTTTGCCGAGTTTTTGGCGTTTCAACGTTTCGTTCACCACGTCCAACACCATTCATTCTCGTGAAAATAGTGTGTGTTGATTAGTTGTTGGTGTTATTTTTGTGCGTGTGTTACATCTTCCCCCTCCACAGCGCTTATTATGTAGTATCCAGTCCTCCTCTCTTGTTTGGAATGTTGGTACGAAGCAGAGACGGGAACTGTTTTTCATGTGTGAAAGGCAACAAAAACACACACCATGTACCAAATATTTCGCGCAGGAGCTCGCATTCACGGGGAGCAGGGGCTGGCTCCGTTTGATCGCGTACTAAAATACTGTGCATATTGACAACTGACAGCATAAATTCTGCAGTTTTATCTGGGGCATCCTGTCATCCTTCGGCGTCATGTGCTGGTGGCATAGTAGAGGTACATGTCCCAAATCAATCCTGATGAGGGAGCCCGCGCAGTCGTTTCGTCTTCCTTTTGGTCGCGATGAGAAAGACGCATTCGATAGATTCCTTCGGCCGATGCTTTTTGACGAACCGGCGACAACGAAGACACACACACAACATCTTCGACTGTTTGAAAAAATCTCACATCATATCGTCAACATGTTAACTACTTCGAAACAGGTCGTCAAACAGCATTGCGATCGTTGGTGATGATTTGGAACCGGTGGTCACCGTTTTTTTACATTATTGAACGCTGACTACATTAGCTCATCACCACCAGCAAAACTCCAGGCAATCAAATGAGCGAGAGTCCCGCCTGCTCAGAACAGGACATTGGCCGTGTTCACGCAGAGACCACTCTAGTCTTCTTGGACAGCTCCACCCAAGTCTTCCGCGCATCATGTCGACCCAACTTCGATGATGATTTGTCCATGCTCTGTCCACAACTCCAGCATCATCAATGATAGCATCTTCCATAGCTGCGACATACCAGTCACACACGCACGCATCATTACAACAAACGCCGAAACAGCAGCTAACTATTGTATGTACGCCCAAGACGTTCCATCAAATCGTCCATCTCCGATGTGGCATCCAGTAGTTTTAAGGACCGCCTGAAGTAGCGATTCTACGACTTCTCCTCGTCCGCCTGAGGCTCTAGATCCAACGCGTCGAACTTGTCTTCCTTGTAGAACGACGCGGCGATCTGTCGACCCCCAAAAAATCGACCGTTCATCTCCAGGTAGGCTTCGTAAAGTTGTCCACGCGGCCAAACAAACGCGGAACAGCAGTTGGAGGGAGTTAAGGAGAAGGGCCAGAACGTTCATCATTGTAATATCATCCTGTCTCCACAGCAATTAGTGAGTTCCAGCCGTCATGCTCCGTGCTGTGGACGCTATCCCAAAAGAGCCCATGAAGAATCTACGAAATGTATCCACACTATCAAGCACGCATCATCAGGGGATTGACGAAGAGGTGCATCACCATATGGAAAAGTGAGATTAGTGGCATGTACTGCCCCCATCTTGCCCCCTCTGCCCAACTCGTCTAACAAACCTTTGACGGCACTCTCTTGCTTCTCGAACGCCACGAAAATCCGAACCCTCTCCGTGTCTGGCGTGTCGCCCCCCTACACGCCACAGCATAGAGCAGAGCACACGCGCAAAGGTCGGCAATGAAGGCGGAGAAGTCATCGTCAATATATCGCACCACAAAGACTTGGGAGTGGGAGGTGATACAAAGCAAGTCAAGTAATACAACCGCACCACAAGAACATGGGAGTGGGAGGTGGGTACAACAGCATGAGGAGTGGAGAGCGACGTAAGCTTCAATCGGGGGGAGGTTCTACAGGAACAGGTTTCGACGAAACGAGTTTCCGCCCGCCAGCGTCCGACAACATCACCCGCAGCCGACAGGCCTACCAACAGACACCCAAGGCAAAGTCCCAACAAGCAGCGAAATCAACAACACGAAAATCAAGGGGGGCACCTCCAGCATTTTTTCGCGTGGGGATTCCGTTGGGCGTGTTCCCTCACAAGCACACGGAGAGGACACCTTCCTGTCTTGCCTTGCCTACCGTACTGGCCTTGGCTACAGAGCGCGCTATCACGCAAGCACCCGGGAATAAACTAACGAATTCAAGCCAAAACAAAGAGAGGAACACAGGTACGTCACCACTGAGAACAGGTGGTCACATATTAAGAATCCTACACTCATCCTAATGGTGGATGTTGCTGACTCCAACAGGAAGAATCAGAAACAAGCGTCGAGCAAAATAAGAGGGTTTTGAACTGGTAAGGCATTATGAAAGGCACGACGCGGCCGAAAAACAAATTCGCGGCGGAGGCGCGGAGGCGCGGAGGCGGAGGCGCGGAGGGTCTAAAATTACCCTAGAAAAGGCGAGGTTCCCTACAGATTTAATGGATGATGAATGATGCGGCTAGATCTCGCTGGAAGGAAGCCGAAGAGATCAAGAGGTTGGTTGACACGTTGACACACCTTGATCTCGTAGATGAGACATCGACGGACGGGCCCGAATCGCTCGCACTCCCCGGAAGTCTCCCCTTCAAGCTCGTCATCCACCTCCCCCGGCCCCACCATATTCTGCACAAACACACACACGAGCGGGCGGGCGAATGAGACAGGCGCCCACACGTGCAAGCGACCACACGCTAGTCTTACATTGCTGCCAGGTGGTAGCGGAGAAGACCTGGTTTTAACACAAAAATGTATGTGCGCGTTTTCACCTGACTAAATTGAGTTCTTGTTCTACACAACGAGAAAAGTGGGGGCAAACCACAGAGCACGACAAAAAGAACAAGACTCAGAGCAACAAAGCGCCCGTAGGTCGAAAAAAACGCCACCAACCCCCCAGAACCAGAACCAAAAAGCGAGTACTCGTGTCGGATCAGGCAACAAGCTCTGGTGCCTCCCACCTTGAGGAGCAAGACTCTTGTGGGGTTCGAGAACAGTCCCCGCTTTTTCCGTGCTGGGGCCGCCGGTGTATCCGATGGGCCTCCCATTCTGGTTTACGCGCACGATCAACGTGGGGCGGGCACATGCAACAGCGAGGGGAGGGGGTGTTGTTGGGGAGAGGGGGGGGGGGTCAACAGTGGCGATGGTGTGATATGTTCCAATAACGCTTAGCAAAACCTGGCTGCACAAGCAGGGGAGAGGGGATGAGCGGTGCCACCGCGGAACTCAAAGGCCGGTATTCGTCAAAGCGGATTGATAACCCGGTCATCACAAATATCCCGAAAGAACAAGATGAAAAACAGCGGCATGCCCTGCGACCCAAAACAACCCTAAGTTTGGCCGAGAAGTTCGATAACCCGCGTTTGGAAATATTCCTGATCCCCTGTAACCGGCATGAAACCTTGAGGCAGACTTCACAATACAAACGCCTGGTTCAAATGTTCAAACCCCGACCACACTGCAAGCCGCCCCATGGAGGTGCGCGCCCTTTTCGGGGAAAATATGTATGTGGAAATTTTTCAATCGAGTTAAGGGCCAGTCAGGCCGTGCCACCGAAAACGTTGCTGTTGCTGCGTAGAGGGCAACCCACCTCTTCTTGTCGGAATGGTGCATGTCGATCACCCCCATCCCGCCTCCGGCCGACATGGACTGCAGCGGCTGGCTTATACCCTGCCTCGAGGCTCCCAAGCCTGACACACACAGAACGAGAGAGAGAGAGACAGACAGAGAGAGAGAGAGAGAGAGAGACAGACAGACAGACAGACAGACAGACAGATAGACAGACAGACAGACGAGACAGGGACACGGAGGGAGAGACAGAGAGAGGGCCAGGGGTGTCGTCAATCGATCGTGCTTGAACGCTACATGTGCACACCCCGTGAGAATCAAAGCGCTTAAGGAGACGGGCCGAAACGCGTGTGAAATTCCATTTCTGTTAATTACAGTTACATTCTCCAAATAGATGTGGGGAACCGCAAGGGGGGCGCCAACATCAACAGAGACATGAGGGAGGTGCCATGACAATCATCGTTGTCGTTCAGCAACACAGCAAACGCAATTCATATGCACGCCCTTTTGCGAAAAGATCTCTTGTTTCCCGTTCGCGTGTTGGCCAGCGGCCGAGCACTTGCAGCTGGATAGCATTCAACGTTTTTCCCTCATCATTTCTATTCCGTCCAAAACAATTCGTGACGCAGGGGGAGTTCTGTAGATGGGAGACGGGGCGGGTAGAACGGAAGACGCACGCGCGGTCTGACCAAACAGCTTGCCGCAACCCCTCCCCCCATCGCGAAATCGTCTCATGTCTCAATCTTTCCCGGGTCGCGGCGAAAACAAGAATGATCGACGCCTGCTATCTTCGTCTTCATCCAAACCCCACCAGCTCCCCACCTTGTCCCTCTTTGTGACCCATCTTGGCCATCATGCGCTCGGCAAAGTTCATCCCGCTCTCTGCCGCAGACCCGCCCCCGACACCAGCACCACCAGCCTTTGCCTGGGGGCCGAATCTTCCACCTCGTTGGCCGGCCTCAGGAACAGCATCCAACTGACCGGGGACAGGAGGGGGACGCCTTGCAGGAGTAGGGGGTTCCTAAACATAGATTTGGAGGCGGCGGGGGGGGGGGGGGGGGGGAAAATGAAAAAATTAAAAGTTTTTTCTTTTCCCGGGGAAAAAAAAACCCGTTTAACCCTAAAAAAACCCCCAAAAAGGGGGGGGGCCCCCCCCAAAAATTAATAAAAAAAGGGCACCAAAAGGTTTTCAAAAGGGGTTTAAGGGATTTTACCCCCAAACGGGTTCCCCCGAATTTTGGTCCGGGGGGGGGGTTTTTTTAAGAAAAAAGGGGCTACCCCGGTTTTCCCGTAAACCGGGGCCCCCACAAAAAAAAAAACCAGTTTGAAAATTCTAAAACCCAAAAATAAAAACCAAAAACCGGGTTTCCGAAGGAAAAAAAAAATTAAGGGTAAAAGGGTTGGAAAAAGGAACAAAAAAAC